GGAAAGAAAAAAATTACAGGGAGAGGTAATGTGGAGTTATTCGTGTTCAGTCCTGCCCTGCAGGAATGGAAGCATTCCAGAGGTCCCTTTATCAGGATGACTAATTGTCTTTCTTCAACCCATTGTATAAAAGCTTTGTGTTCTCACCCTCTTAAGCTCAACATATATACATAAAAGCCCTTGATCTTCTTTATAAAACTTCCCTATCCTTTTCATCACCACTTAATTCTTCTCTCTGGATATGGATAAGCTCGGATGCTGTATCCAGGATTGTACCACTCTGTCTGGATTAATTAATCCTGTGAAACAAATTCAAATTTGGACTTTCAGTACCTGAGCTATCATATTTAGAGCTATAACTAGTGTCTTTACACCCACGTCGTCAGATTCCCAGCCAGCTGGACCTGCAACTTTAATTCTGATCTTCTTGATACCACTTCTTTTTAAATTTTGTTCATTTTAGTTTTCCAGTCAGAATTCCTTTAAACACAGCTTTCCCTTTCTGAGCAGGCAGCCAGAATGCAGCCAAGTCCTCTTCCAAGTCTCCTAGTATGTCTTGGCAAGCTCAGCCTGCTGTGAGGTTTCTCTTACATGTCTTGGGCAGCAGGCACACTGCAGGGCAGGTGCACTCTGTAGTGCTCTTCACAGTCCCAGCTCCTTCCCCACCCCGACAGCAAGGTCTTCCCCTTCCAGGGTGACTGCTGGGTTTCATCTGGCCAAATATCAAGGGCAGTGGCTGGGGGTATGCACTGGTGTTTGGGAACTGGTCTCACTCCCAAGGCTGACACGAGGCCTTTGTGGCTTGCTGCTCAGACCATGTCAGACTTTCTGCAGGTCTCCCTGCTGGCTCCCCATTTTTTAAGTGGAGGAAGCTTCATGGCTCAGGCTTATCCTGCTTAGGACTGTCACTAGTGTGTTCGCACAGAGCCTAGCACAAAGGAAAACTGTCTTTCCTGGGTGTTCTGGTGCCATGCCAGCCTTTCATTTAGAAACTTATCTCACTGAGGCTCAGAACCAACGCACAGGTACATCTATACTAGTCAACTCAACAACAGCTCAGGCCAGCTGGTACAGACTGGCCACATTCACTCTGTTCAGCTCTCTCTGCCTATAGACCACAGTGGTCACATCTAAATGACATCTTGGAAATGGCCCCGAGTCTGGGACAACTCCCAAATGATGCCTAGGAATTGCTTCAGGGAGTGCTATTTGCCCTGGACCAAAAGCGTGCCAGGAACCATGCTAACAGCTCAACAGCATAGACAATTAAGTTGCATTAAATAGGAATGTTTGCTACCCCTGTTTAATGTACTACGATAAACATAGCTGCAGAAGCTATGGCACTTAGCTTGTACGAGCTTTTTGGCACTGGAAAGAACAGGTTTCTCAAAACTAGTATTTCCGTATTCTAGGTGTGCACCTAGAAGTTTGCACTGGTTTAAATAAACTGATGTTAAGCCACAAATTTAGCTAAATCGGAACAATTTTTGGAAGGACTAAGCCCCAGGTGTCAGATTCTTACCTTTGATTAACTTTTCATACTGCTCTCTTGTTTCCAAAAAATTTTCTTCAAACTGGAAAAGGAGAGGGAAGAGTGTTACACTGCTGTATTTCAACATTTTTCTTCTGTAAGTGACTGCAGGTAACCATACACAAAACGACCCAACCAAGCAAAAGGTGATAAGCCGGATCTTCAACTGCGCCGTTTGGCCACAGGTGTCCTGAGGATCCCCCACCCATCCTCAGGGCTGGGGAGGAGCAGAAGGGCCTGGCTGCTCCTGCCTCAGGGCACTGGCTGAGAAATAACCTTAGGGCGGGTAGAAACAGAGGACAGGCGTCTACAGGAGGAAGACAGGTTGCAGCCGGTGCCAAGGGAAGCACAAGGTAAGTCAACTATTTCTAACCCCACTCCAGGGTGTGAAAGTCAACAACGCTCTTCTGTTTATACACATTGTAACTGCGAACTCAGTGAGACTGAGTTAAAGTGGTTTTGCACAGCTGGAAAACTCAGATTTATTAAGGGCCTTTAAATAAATCCCCATTTTGATCCATTACGGTTAATTACTTCAGGGGACTCATATCATATCAGCTCTATAAAACTCCAAACTCCACTGAGTTTGCACCCCAAATATTAACCACCGAACAGGGTAGTTACAAACATGCAGTGCCACTGGCCAAATGAATTTAGCCACCTCCTTGCAGCCGTTTATCCTCCACGTGCATGTCAAATTGTTCCTTACTGAGGCCAGCTAACACCACCACTCTGGAACACTGTACCGCGTGTCAACTAACCTCCACACCGGCTGCAGCCAACAGCCATCGTACGGGCTCCATTCGCCCCCTTCCATTACAGTAGGTAAGCCTGGGCTTCCCCGACATGCTTCTGAGCTCCTGGTTCCCTGAAAAACATTAAGCAGAAAGCAGCGTCTCATAAAACTGGTGTAAGGACCATCCCTTTGGGGGGAGGAGAAGCCTTTTATTCTCACTATGCCTGTTGGACTTGCACTGCACCTGGTTTAAAACATAAAGTGAGAGATGGACCAGTGACATCATGCAGCCTGTGCTAGGAATGAAAAGATGTGCGCATCTGTAAAGCCTTCCCCAGTGCTACTAGGGAGGTTTTTTATGATTATAAGGAAACACAGACATGTTTAAACAAGTGGTACGAGTCCTGAGCTACAGGGGGAATCTTGCTGCATTTTAAGACAATTATACAAAGCCACTGAGAATCTCACCACATCCTCAGGCAAGTTATTCACTGAGCCTCATTGCCATCATCCTCATTGAAAAGAAGAAAAGGAAAACATGTTTTACTGCTAGGCTGAAATTTCTCTAGCTTTGCTTGCCAAATGTCAGAGTGTATTTTGCAGCTTTAACTGCCATCCACTTCTTTCCTCAAGTAGGGGCAAATGAATTATTAATCTTTCCTTTATTCCACGAAACAGGCTGAGCTTCCTTGGCAGCCATACTGAATAGCTACAGCCTGTTTTCTTGCTGCTTACGGCAGCCTTGAGGTGTCCCTCAAAGCCAGATCTGGAACCTGGCTGTATTGGCTTCAGGTGCCCCCCAAAACACCCCCCAGGGCACAGGGACCTGCGTGCCCAGGGGACTGGCACATCGGAGGCTGTCTGAAGCTTGCTGTCACAGCACGTCTCACTGAACCATGAGCAACAGAGTGTGTGGCAGAGACAGCACGTCTGTGTTGAGCTGTTCCATACATAGGGACTACCAGCTGGAGTAGCTGTGCTGACACTCGAGTATAAGTGTTTGCAAATCCAGGCCTTAATTTCTCTATGCTTCATTGCCCTAAGTACTAAAATATGGCACTAGCATTCCCGCTTCACAAAGATGTTAGTATCATACACTAACGACTGGGAGAAAAAAAGCTTAAAGATGGGTATCCTAATGGCTCAGAAACCAGAGAGCAGAGTGCCTGACTTAAAAAAATAATTTTACAGATGACCCCAGTTTTCTCAGAGCTAAAAGCCAAGCCTTAAATCAGTATACCTGTTCATCCAGACTCTAAATGCCTTTTTGCATTTATTTGGGGAAACGTATGGCTAACATAGGCAAGGCTCCCACAGGACTTCACTCAGTCCTCCACTATTTTTCTAAAATTTTAGTAAAAGATTTGCAGGATGTTGTGTTTAAAAAAAAATTGATCCATTTTTGATACGATATGTTGATGATTTATTAGTAGTCATGAAATCTGGTATAGCTGACACCCGTTCCTTACTGTTTGCCTTAGCTGAAAAGGGCCATCAGGCCTCTCCACCTAAGTTACAATTTTTATGAGAGAAGTGTAGAATATCTGGGTTACATTCTCCAACAAGAGGAGTGGCGTTTATCTGAAAACCATATTAAAATCATTCAAAATCTTCCCTGACCAGTTACTAAAAACAAACGCAAGCCTTTTTAGGAGCTGTAGGATTCTGCCACCCCTGGATAGCTGCTTTCGAGGAAATGGCAAACCCCCTGATACCGATTATTGCTCAAGATGCTGGAGAACCCATTCACTGGACAACAAGCAAGGTAAAGACATTCAGGCTTTTGAAGCAAGCTGTGCCTGCCCTGGGACTGTCAGACTACAGTAACCATTTAGCTTGTTTGTACAAGAAGGGCAAGGAATAGCCTCTGGGATGGTAACTAACACACTGAACCCTGCTAGTCTACTCCCTTCACCTGGAGAAGGAACTCCACATCACGCCTGTGTAGTAACCACCCATGAAGCCAAAAAGACTCAAGAAGATTTAACAGACATGCCGTTTCTAAATCCCAATCTGGACCTATTTGTTGGAGGGTCCTTATATCATCTGAGCAGCAACTGGGTTATGGGTTATTCAATAACTACTGTGAATAAAGTAGTGGAGGCCTCACCACTCAGTCCGAAGCTGAGTGCACAAGCAGCTGAATTAATTGCATTAACAAATGTCTATCAGCTGGCTGAAGAAAAGACTAAATATTTATGCCGATTCTCAATATGCATCTGGAGTATGCCACGCTACTGGGCAGTTATGGAAGCTGTGTGGGTTTATAACTTCTAGTGGAAATAAGATATCAAATGCTCCACAAATTACTGAACTGTTAAAAGCTATACGATTGCCAGAGAAACTTGCTGTCATTCACCAGCCAGCCCATACCAGCGGAAGGACAAAAGAAGAGATAAGAAATAGTCTAACAGATATTGCCGCTAAAGCCATAGCACGACAGCCATACGAACCACCAGGCTTACAAGCAGTCCGACGGTCCAACCTGGTGTTGCCCACTCCTGAAAGGATGCGTTTGACTGTTCC